ACGCCCTTCATCCTAAGATCCTCCTTGCTCTGTCCTCACCCTGTCATTCCCTTGGGGGCCTGTCCTCAAGAGTAGGAGCCAAATTGGTGATTATTTAAAAACTCATTCTTCTAATTCAGCTTCCATCGAAAGGCAACTAAATGGTGGGAAATGAGGACCTAGGGCAGTGAGATGCGCACTGTAAACCATTTTATTTAATGCATATCACCTGGTTACGAGGTCCTGCTTGGCGGGCCTCCTTTTGGACCTGGCCCAGGGGTGTTACCCACTGTTCCAGGGTGACTGCAGGACAACAGGCTAGTTCTAAGTGCCAAAACAGCCCCCCGACCCCTGCTCCTCTTAGCAGCTCGGTCCCCCTGGACAATGGGCCTCAGATATGGGTTTATGGAGATGTTCCTACAAACTTCTATGGCTCAAGACGTAAGCTCATGCAATTCACTATTCTGAAAGCCTCTGGAATCCCTGACGCGCTGCATCTCCTTGGCCAGTGAGAAGTGAAGTAGTCATGTGTATCATACAAGGTACCGATGGGGCCCTAGTTGGCTGTCTCTGTCTGGCCTTTGCTTCAGGGGTGCCGCCAGCTAGGAGGACACTGAGAACCATTTTCTGTGTGTGGAAGCATCTGCCCGCCTCACCCTGACCACTGGTGGGCTCTAGGGATGTGTGAAAACTGCCACGAGGCCACGGGGGCTTCCTGTTACCCTCCAGAACCTAACAGGCTCTCTCTGGAGGGTGCTTGTTGTGAGACACTGGGACTCAAACCTCCTCAGTCAGTTTGTCTGGGCTCTTCCAAAACAATGAATATAAATCACGAAGAGGGAGAAGGGATATATACATGAAGAAATACAACCATTGAAATGTCATGGCAAACACGTTAGAAATTAATTACAACCCAAGAGTAGGGTCATCTTGAGGCAGAGCACCAGATCTTACTCAGTTTCTTAACCCACATGCTTGAAAGTTGGGATAAGTTGAAAGAATATGAGTTTGAATGTGACAGAGAGTCCGGCCAGTGTCACCCAGGGAAGCTTTCACCATGCCAATCACAGAAGCTCATGCTCACTGAAGCAGGTGGGGATTTACTCTGTATGTGTGGGAAGGAGACCAGTTTTAAACCAAAAGTACACACCAAACCACCGCTCCCGAACAGAAGAGTCCACCTGCAACAACGGCTCTTTCTGTTCATTCTTGTGTAGGACACGAGGCTTGCCGTGGGTGCCTAAAGCTGAAAAGGAAACTGAGAGGGAGGGGAAGGCAAAAGAAGAAAGATGGAAAAACATATAAAACCCCAAACAGTGTGAAACTGCCCCGTTGTCATCTCACTGTCACCAGCATGGATGGCCCCTGTGTCACCAGGCCTTCTTCCACACAATCTCATCACAAGTTTGGGACTTTCTCCTCTCTTTGTAACCCTTCCCCTTCACTAGCTTGGTTGGTTGGTTGGTTGGTTGGTTGGTTGGTTGGTTGGTTGGTGCCTTTCGTGTTCTCCTTCATTACATTAACTCAATGACAGGGATTCACTTTCAGTCCTCGTGTTCTCCAGAGAACAGCTTTTGAGTCGCCCTCAATCACGTTCTTTGGTCATTTCCCTCCCACACTGATATTTGTACTTCAGAAGATACAAAGAATTCCCAGTGCTTCTTAGGCTCAAGGGCTCGAGCTTCCAGCAGAGGTGACTGGTGGCGTGTCCCACTACTAACTGCTCCTGAGGCCTGGTATCCCAAGGCTCCGAGGAGGGATGAGCTTCCACAGCCAGGCTAGTAAATCTGTCCCATAACCAGTGTTCTCTGCCCACTTGCGGGCGTGCAGGAGAGGTACAGGACAAATCAAACCTTATCCGCCCCCCCCCCCCCCCCCC